TTCTCCATCAAAGTCCATGTCATCCTCCGGTATGCCCTTTGTGCTCCCTTCTGGTTGAAGGGCGCCACAATAGTGAGAGTAGACGTGTCCGACCCCAAGACCGAAATGGAATCGCATTAGCATGTCGCGATCAACAAAACTGAAATCATGAGTTCGTTATTGGTATGCACTGTTTATTTCACTAACTCACCGATTAACGAAGTACTCGCGCCAATCATCAGCATCTCCCGCACATCCAGACATGCCCAATCCGTCCGGGTGTCTCTTGCCCTTCTCGAAAGATGGTATTATGTGGCAACCTCTCAGCACATCTGAGGGATCAAGGAAGTCAAATGAGTCCTCATCTGTCCTTAAATGAGTCTGGAAGCTAAAAGTGTGATGTTAGATAAACAATACAACGAGATACTGAGGAACCGTACCGTCTCGAAGTACACAATGTGATTACTCAAGTTGCACGATGGCTTGCAACGATGATACTTGGATTCGTTGCCGAAGTACATATAAGTCGGCCATAACTTGGTGTTGCCAAACGAGGTCAGTTGTGTGGCATCAGACCAGAACATGAGACCGGCCACAACTCGAGGAAGATCACAGTTAAGCTCCCCAGGAGAATTTTGGAGGTCCGTGTGGGCTTCATGGAAAGCCGGGGATGTGTAAAGATCTCCGTGTATGGCGACCTCGGCATCAAGGTGGGGTGGATTCCAGCGCAGCTGATACGGTTCGTAATGAAATAGTTTAGTATCTCGTTCGTTAGCTAGTTTTTCCCGTAAAACGGCCACGAGGGAGCGATGATAGAGATCGGCCGCTTGGTACACGCGAGGGCCTGGTGTTTCAGTCGTACGAGAAAACAGCAGTACACGCGAGGGCCTGGTGTTTCAGTCGTACGAGAAAACAGCACTTGAATCGACACGGGTGTTTTTTTCCAACCGGCATCTTCGTCTTCCCACTCTTCTTTATCTTCATTGTACTCGTTGCTACCCAGTTGGGAGTTTATTTTCGTCCAAGGTGTGGAGTTCACCTCAGCAACGTCAAAGGCGCTATCGCCCACAATCTCCAACAGTTTTCTGAAGTCGCTGTAGAGAATCATGCCTCTCATGGCGTGATATGGTAGTTTTCACCAAGGAGTATACAGCACGAACTCATAGCATTACTCTGTGCGCTACCCGCAGCTATCTCTATATGAGGCGCAGCTTTCCCACGCAACGCGCGCCATGCGCGCACCATTCCCGCGCTTCACGATGTATACGCGCGCGCGCGTTCCCGCGCTTGCGCGCCCTATAGCGCCAGCCATCCAGATGCATCCATCCACTGTCCACCAAGCTCCCTAGTATGTATATTTCCATTTCCTTTATTAGCATAGTTCCACCTTTATTTTTATCATAGTTTCTCACTCATATATATTTTTACATACCTACTCGGTAGTGCTTCGGCTCCGCATGAGCGCGCTTAGGCGCGCTATATAAGCGCTAGCAGTACATACTACACTGGACCTACTTTTCCTACTTTTCACTTACTAGTTACTACCCACTTACTACTTAGCAGAATATAGTAGAAAGCTATTCCTTTACATTTTGCACTCTTATATCTCTTATCTTGCTTTATATCACTACTTAAGCTTAGTTTCTCATTTCCGCATACGCGCGCGCACTTTCCCGTGCTTCGCGCTAATACGCGCGCGCGTTCCCGCGCCTTTGTACCTTGCGCGCACCTGCGCTTTCTCGCGCTTTGCTTAAGCGCACACTTCTAGATCCTTGCTGCACTCACTTCCCCTATAGGGTCGAACGCACTTGCTTCTCAAGTAACGCAGACTAGGCAGCGCGCGACCTTACAACTTTTACAGATACAGTCAGGAGCTTCTTTTGTTCCTCATTGTATTGTTGTTTCTACATCGCCTTGCGACTTCTGCACCCCTGATTCCAATACCAATCGCCAAGTTGAAATGAGGCGTGGTTAGGATAAGGATGGTACTGGAAATTGCTGCCCGGAGTGGGGGGTGAGTTGGATTCTTCATTGACATGAGAGCTGCTATGAATAAACGAGAGATCCGAGAGGGTGACATACTCTTCCAGATCGTGGGAGGGCAGTGCAGACGAGAAGTATCATCGCACTAGCCCGAATATGTTTGGAGGGCTGCGAAACATGGATTGCGAGGATAAGGGTACAGCGTTGTTGGACAAGGCGACTTGTTCACGACCGATAGGTGCCGGAGGGAAGACGCCCAACGGCGCAGTAGGTGGAGGCTGCGGAAGAACGTCCCTAAATCGTTTTGGCAACTGGCGATTCTGACGTCTCGGTCTTCGCTCTGCCAAACTGAGCACATCTCCTCCGACATCGCAGTCAGGGATGATGAGATCTCTGGTAGCAGCTGGGTTGAGCGGAGGTGCAGCGGGAATCTTGGGCTCTATTGCATAGTTAGCTTCATGTGAAGCTGGGGAATTGGGAGGAGAGTTAGACAATTGACAAGGCGATCCCATGAACGCCACAGGCTCAGCATCATGGTTCGAAGTGCGCGGCTTTTTTCTGAGAGTTAAAAGTTCCTTGAAATTGGACATAGCTGATGAAAGGCGCTTTCTTGTCTGAGAGCACGAGCGTTGGTGTTGAGCGAAGTGGTTCTGCGCAGTGAATGTGCGCCTACACACGCAGGTGTAGCCAGATGCTGGCATGGAGGAATGAGTGAAGCCAGTCTGTCGCCGGAAGATTCATAGAAAGAATTAATTCCGGCGAATGGCAAAGAAATGGCGCAGGAGTGGCAGGCAAATGGCTGGATATGGCAATGGCGAAATAATAATCAAATGGTGGGATAAAGCGAAATACAGTCCAGGATGCGAAACGGTCGCATGACTATATAAATGCTGGAAATAAACGCTCGGTCATCTGCAATCTCTACATTCTAAGATGTCCGCACCGAGTTCTCCACTTTCTGAATGTTCGACGTTATCCACGGAATTCGAATCGGTTGCCGACCCCGAAGTCGTCAAGATGCTGGTGGCCATCCTCACTTGCCGCCATGGTATACTGCATTATCATGCCCAAACGGCAGAACTGACAATGTTTCAGTGGCAAGTTATCTTTTTTATGAGGAAATTTGATACTCACGCACACTGTAGGCCAACCGACCGATATGGCCATAAAATTCACCCTTCACAATTTGAGGCTTATCGCAAAGCACATACGTTCCGCTACCCATGTTGCCTTTGCGCCGAGGGTAACAGATACATTGAGTCGTCTATATTTCGACGCACTGCCGGAGTATGCCAGGGGGAATATGTCGCAGAATGTGCAACCAGTAGTTGCGGGTACATGCGTAAGTGGGCTCATCATTTGAGCGTCACCAAGGTAGATGTGCTTATCTGATGATTTTAGTAAATATCGAAAAGTTTGTTGGAAGAACCTGCGTACCTGCAGTGTACTATCCTCGGAGAGGTAGGTGTCCAAACCTACGCGCGAATGTACTTGCCTATAACTGTCAGAAATCACCAATCGCCCCGCACGCTACCGGCAGTTGCTTAGAAACCCGTATGGCTCTGTAGGATGTACCGTGATGTTGGAACAAATATAGGGGGCGGTTAGACCTACTACGGTAGCTGCAGCTTACGTATGAGTATGTTATATGAACCAGAGGGGAGAAAACTCGTACAATTTGCATCTTGCACCTCATACTAGACCGTAGTTGGGGTCAACCGAAATAGTATCAATTGTTCACTAGTCTGAAAACTATGTCAAGGACGTAAATTGTGATAAGTTGGTGTGATCTCACCATTCGGCATGACTCCGGGCCGCTTGCACAATTTGCGCACATTCCTTACGTCATTTGGAACGAACTGCGGCATAGTATTCAAGTTACATCAGCTCTATCATTATTTCAGAGCGAAGGCGAAGTAACCTCTAAGGTAGCGCGTATGCAGGTTTACTTCATTATTAACTTTACTTGGAAAACATCACATTTTGTAATAGTAGGTACTAAGCACTACACATATGACTACTGAGACAGACGAGAGAGAACGGAAAAGAGAGTACGTTGAAGTGCTGGAGGCTTATATAGTGAATGACTCGATAAAATCAAACTCAGTCGGCAGTTCCTGAAACGGGCTCCACCGGTCTTCTGTGGCCTGGGACAACATTATGTCATCACAATACCCATTCTCTATGGATAGTGGCCGAATCCTAGTAGTACGTCGATGTTTCCCGCTCGTTGCTCCACGCGATGAGCTCGATATATTGTGTATTTTCAAGTGTACATACTTTGTGTGTATATATATATTGCCTTAAAGTACTTAGTAAGCTTGCTGCCGCCCTCGCTTGCCTATTTTGTAACGGCCGAACATTAGGCCGACGCTTCCCGCTCATCCGAGTCGTTCCTTAGTAGGATAAGTCGCTCAATCTACTTTATTTGCAGATACATTTTTTGTATATATTTCATTATTACCTTACAGTACTACCTACTACAATACATTTCTCAACTTCGTGACATCGATTGCCTATGGGTTCCTCTCCAAGTCAGGCAGATACATTACGTGTATTTCTACAGTAAACACAATATAACATTGAAGAGCTTACCAAAAAGGTTCCTTGTATTCACCATAGAGCCGGCAAATCCTTGATATACATTCACAGGGACACATGATACAGACGGCAGGGATTCAGAGGTCATGAATAGGTTGATAATGTCAGTACGTATGTTTGATACAGCGTGAAGAGGGAGAAACAAGGGGTCAGGGCAACAATGTACACATATAAAATGTTCACCGAAGACTTGTTCAAAGTCTGTCCGAAACGTCGATGGGGCTAGGTCTTTCAATGTTGACATAGATTGAATGAAGTCTGAAGACGTGAAATTAGGTGGTAGATCGGATAGATTGGGATATAGTTGACTCACGGTATTTGAAGCCGGAGGTAATGAAGGTGTCCCATTTGGAGCATGGGTCCACGTGATGTTTGACTTGATGTTATTTGGAATCCGAGGTTGTTCGAAGGAGTCTGGCAGGCTGCCAACGATGGACTGCTGCACAGGACACAATCACCAGGAACCGGCAATTGTGACAGACAAAATATACGAATAATGTTTGCAAGTCATTGTTTTCCATGAGCTTGATTGTATGAGAAAAGAAGAAAGGATATGGCATAGGTCAGTCATAGCATAGTGGAGTTAACGTAGGAAAACGACGACAGGTTTTCTAGCCCTGTCAAATACGGATGGGCCTCACCGAAGCGGGAGTGGGCCTTCCCCTAGGACGGGGTCGATTGAGTCTTAATGTTTCTGATGGCCTATAGAAACGGGTCAGCGGAATGTATATACATAGATGCGATATCATACTCACGTCATGCCCAAGCCTTGCGACATATTACCAGGTACAGCTGCCAGAGAGATGTTACCTATGCTAGCATTCTCCTTATTCTCTGAACCATTGCGGCCAGTGCTCCTCTTCACCCAACCCAAGGCAGCTCTTCGTGCGACCGAGCCCATGCGGGGACGGGGTGGGAGGCCGAACACGCGCTCGAGTTTACCAGGTGACATTGCTGCGTCCTTCATGAGTTCACCTGCCTTGGTGTTTTCGATCGCGGGTGACATAATGTTAGGGTTGACGGAAATTTGTTGCAGCGCCTTCGGTTGACCTTGGGAGCGCATATTGTCATTGGGAGCGTTTTCTGCGACAGCTGCAACAATGGCCACCCTCACTTGCTCGGTGGCTGGAGAAGATGTGAAAGAGGTCTTGAACGTCCTGGGGTAGGGTGAAGGTCGAGAGTTGACGCGAGAACGCATGCGTCGAGGGCGCAACTCTGAAGGTAAAGGCCCGTAGTTCTGCATTGAATGTTCCAAGAGCGCTTGCATGCCGGAAGGATGACTAGGAGGATCAAATGCTGATAACGACGTTCATTACAGTACAGTGAACAGGTAATAAGTACTCACATTGAACTGCGAAGACGGAAAATGGTGTGTCAAGCCAGAGTCGCTGGCTCTCTGTCACGGTATCTTCAGCTTCGTCGCGAAGCGCATAGTACTTGCGTAGCGCCATAATTCCTCTCTCATCATCCCACAACGACACCGAATCCATAGATGCAGTCTCAGCGGGATCAGGAATAAATACGGGAGCACGACCAATTGTCTTTGTCGTTGAATCAGGAAGTTGGACATTCTTTGTCGCAGAACTTGGAAGCGACTGAAGGGATGATGTCGGAGCAAGCAATGTTGTGAGTTCCTCCTCAATGGTCTCGTAAATGGATGTGCTTGATGCACGGGCCTGAGAGATACGTCGTTGGTGACCGTGGCCACGAGCGCGTGGTCGGACTCAGTCCAAAGTAGCGTTTGACAGAGGGTGAGTAATGTCAGAAAGCATGTAGTTGACATGTGAGAGGTCAATGCTGGACTGCGAGCCTTCCGAGAATGTGGAGTACCCATCCATTGAAAGTGGAGGTGTCTCAGCACCAGAACTCATAGACGTACAAGTGTTGGAGCGAGAATGACCTGCACAAGAAGGGCGGGTAAAGACAGGGATGCGGACTAAAACCCCAGTGAGCAAGACCAAGACATCCATTGCAAACGACCAACTCACAAGATGCTGACAGATCTTCCTCTCCTTCTGCGATCAACACCGTGTTCTCCAAACTCTGCCTCTCCAAAAGACCGTGCTTTGCTCTAATCATGCGCTCGTCACCGAACTTCACTGAATATGCAGTCGAAGCAATCGACGGCTTGGTCTCAAGAACTCGGCTCTTTGGAGATTCATAGTCATCAACCTTACGAAGGAAATTTGGCTGGGGAGTGTCAGATGCCATGTGTTTCCTTTTTTCAACTTGGCGACAAGGTGAGGCTTCGATCATGGATCCTACGGAGCGGCGTCGAACATGGCCACCACCAAGCATCTGCAAGAGAAAACGTAAATAACCAATTCACAAGCATGATTCCAATAACTTACGCTGATCATGGTGTCATCTTCCTTCTGCAGACTATGAATGCTAGCAATGCTGTAGCTTGATAACCGTTTGAATTGAGGTGGTGCATGCGAGGAGTCCACAGCAAAGAACGCAGAGTCAGATGAAGAAACGGATGTCCTATGGCAAGTTTTCTCAAAGAGCGAGTCTTCCATATTGGGCACTGGTTGATGTTCATGGTCCATGTCCATGATCGAATCATAGGACATGCGATTCACGTATTGGCCACTCCGGAACTGCTCGCTTCCGATGCTCCTGGCAGGGCTTTCAGGTGGCGATGCAGAAATAGCGGTCAGTGGCATTCCACGATCCAAAGCAGAGTCAAGCATCTTGTCTCCCAGTCCTGGCCTCCCCAGGTGAATCTCCGAGAAGTCACTGAGCATGGAATCCACAGAAAAGTCGGGGCGATGCCTAGCCCACGAGGCACGCCCGCCATGAACGTATGGTTGCGAAACGCTGCTCGTGCTAGTGCTCGAGTCATTGCGGCGGCGGTATCCATAACTGCTGCGGTTGTGTCCATAGCTGTTGCAGTTGTATAAGCTGATAGGTGGACCTAACGAAGAGACAGAGACTGCAGACGAGTGGCGAGGATGAGCAGCAATACGATTATATGGGTGCAGCTGTGAGTGCATTGAGGTACGGAAGTAGAAGCTGGAGGTATCGCTGTCAACGCGTCTCCTGCGAGGTTGTTTTTGCATGAAGGAGAATGTATCATCAAGAGAAGACATAGTGAAAGAGAACTCGTCCGAGGAAGGACACTCCCGAAGGCTTGGGAGTGGTAATACCCCATAATCGAAAGGATCTGTAGACCCATGATTGATAACCTGTCCATATGACGAGACAGACGCAATGCTGAACATAGAGTCACGTTTGTTGTGGTCGCTACGCGAAGTGGCTCCTGGCGGAGGGTAGAAATTCGGACGATTGTCATGAAACTCGAATCCCCTTCTCACTTCTGCAAATGAGTCAAAGCCTGCAAAGCTCAGTTCTGAAGAGTGTCTATAGTGACCTGGAGCATTTGAAGTGCGACCAGCTGAACGTCTGATGCGCTTCAAGCTAGTGTCTGAATCGAGGCGAACGCGAGACGGAGGTGAGGGAATTTCGACAGCTTTTGCAAATATGGACTTGAGAACAGCCGAGTCATCAGCAGCTAACGAAGTTGCGGAGAGGGACTTGGCAACAGCCAAAGGAGGGATGATATCCGATAGTGTAAGTGGCTCCTCATTCTTTTCAGCAGAGGGTGCAGGTGATGGCTTACCGCCAAACTTTAAATTCCTATTGAGCTGTCCATCTGATGGTCGCGATTTCATGGACCTCGTGGACCTAGCGTTCCTCAAGAGTTGAGGCCGCTCTGCGCAAAGGAAGTCCTCCTCCTCCTCCCTCTCCCAGTCATTTGTCGTGGCAAAACTATCCGTTCCAGGAAGCAGCGACGGTTCAGTGTCCACATCCATCGGGAAGCCCTGAGGTAAGAACTCCTGCGACACATAGTCCATACTGAATGTGCTATCCCCCGCGCGTTCCAGTTCCGCCTGCAATGACGGGATCTTGGGCACAGGAGGTGCCTAACGTCCCTGCAAGACCAAGGTTTCGGCGCGCATCAGGGAGAATCAGTAAGCTCGGGCTATCAAGCAGTTTCGGAATATCATCGGTGGTGTCGCAGCGCAATCGCAAATGCACATGCTCTATAGGCACAAAGGACGATGGTTTCCTCTCATATCCTCTTGCCTTCTTGAACACAGGGCTTGTACCAAGTGACGCACGAGAACTGACCTTTGAATGTGCAGAGCTAAACGTGCGTGATGATGGTGGATGATCTGCGTTGCCCGTGAATGGTAAGCTCATAGGTGCTGTGAAGACTCCTGAGACAGGCACCTTGCTTTTCGCGGGGCGGAGTGCTTTGAAGACGGGCTATGGTTCTGCCGCAGGCGCAGGGCTCATTGTGCGCTTGTGCGTGAACTTAAAGGTCGATGCTGGCGCATGGGAGTCCCTTGGCGGTGATTTCGCAGGTGATATCCCAGCATTGAGCATTGCCCACGGTGCGACATGCTGCCCGATGGATGAAACTACAGCGGTGGATATTGTCTTGGAGTATGGGCAGAGTGACGTGACGCTCGCGGCGCTTGCGCGGAGGCATTTGATAGGGCTTTCTAGGATCATGTGTTTTGTAGGGCTGCCAGCTTGGGAAGATGCCAACAAAGATGGCGAACGACCACTCAGAGGTGACATATCCGGCGTCGCTTGCAGATCAAGGTGGTTGATGAGCTGCGCGAGATCATTTGTTGCTGCGTCCAGGAGGGATATTACTGCACAATCTGTGTCACAAAATCAGATGAACAAATCAGTACAACGCGAATAGTCGACTGGCTGTACGCATGGCCTGACATACCGTTTTCGTCCTCCATACCTGTTCTGTTGCTTTTGTGGTGAAAAGTACCCAAAAGAAATCCTCCGCCATCTGGAGTGACGCATATTAAGTGAGTTGAACACTCAGGTAAGAAGGACATACTCAAAAAGTAGACCCTGACGTGCGTTGATGGTGGGAGCAGAGTCTAGTAGTACATCAGCCTCTACGAGTGGTTCGTGAGCTATTTTACGGAATGTGTGCTTACTGCAATAGTCATAAATGTAAATGTTGAACCTGGATGAGCAACAAATGAGTTAAGTTGGGGCAATGGAATGAGATATACGACAACAAACATCTTGTCACCTTCTTAAGATGGGTCTGACGACAGGGCAAAGGGTTCGACTGCATTTGCATACAGTCCATCAAATGTTTCATCATTGGCATTGTCGTATCTGGGGGCAGGTTGTGCCATCCGAGTTCCTGCATTTTAGAGGTCAGGATATGTACAATACTAAGAATGTTGCGGCTCCACATACCTGCGTATATATACAATATCAATATCCATTCTTGTTCCGTTGCTTGTTGCTGTGAAACCACCCAACCATCTGGAGCACCACATATTTGGTTCAGCAGGTTGTCGCAGTCATTCACGAAATCAATGAGTTGACACCTGTCATTAATTTACAAATTTGGAATAGAAGGTACACACATATATATATCTCCTGTATGGATTGTCCCGAACAGTCTAGGTAATCAAATTCTTGTATAGTACAGTACATAGTCTAACGTTGCATCAAATTTTGAGCAGGTTCCACCAGACATATCTGATCGGAACGCAAAGTTATGGTAACTGTAGGCGTGATCTTAATGTCAACAGTGTTTTTCTTGGTGATTTCACACTTGGTTACAGTTCGTATAAGTCCACGGTGAACCCCATCAAGAATAAGGCACTCTTGGTTTTTCTTGCGCGGAGGAGCCGGGCTCAAATCGTTCGCGGGGATGTGGTAGTGTTCAAGTGCGGCGCCAGCACTGTTGGATGTACAGGATACGGCCACGCAACCTTCGGGTGAGGGTCCATTCTCACCGCAAAACCGGTCAGGGCAAGCTGTCGACACAAAATGTTTCTGTAGCTTGCCACCCATGAACCTCACCGACACCTTCAGCAACGCGTGATACGTTAAGAGCTTTGAAGAAAACTCCTTAGACATTAACCAAGGTAGTGGACCTACAATAACATGAGTAGACATTGTGATATCTCCCTTGAAAACTTACCTATGTCTCGTGCTTTCTCCATTCTGGCCTCGATGCTGTCCCGCATGTCGAGTTGATCAACACTCCATGTCTGGAGTGCCGATGATGAGCTGGGATTGGCGCTTGATGAAGGGTCATGCGTCATATCAGCACTCCTGGGGCTCTCAGACCGTGCGGACCACTCGTTGGATGGCAAAAGACCAGGATCCATGATTGAAGCCGACGAGCTAGAGGGAACTTGTTCGACAGGCGGAGTGACACTTCGAGGTGGGGGGGCCAAGTACGACCTTCTCCGCATTTCGCAGAATGAAAATAGCTCCGGGCCTTCGAGCATGACACCATCTAACCTCATCCCATACCTTAACATTGGTCAGCCTTTAAATTACCGCAAAAACATAAGTACCACTCACCTGGTGACAACGTCGTGGAGTTTGAGCGTAGCACGCACCTGCCCGCGCACAGCAACGGTGCAAGTCTCGAGGGAAAGACTCAAGAGGGTGCCTTGGTAGCCCTTCCGATCACCCCCAATAACAAAGACCTCCTGCTCGATATCCTTCTTAAAAGAATCCAAGCTGACGTTGTGCATTTTGATGACAAAGCGGATTGGAACATTGATCTGTCATAAGTCAGAAATGTTTGAGTTGAAGTGAATGATACTTACGAGTGACTTGTCGCCATCACATATGAGACTCAGGCGAGCGTTTGGAATGTCTACATGCTGGACGAGCCCTTTTGCCCCGAACTCCGGCCCACAGGCGACACCCACAGTATCTCCAGGTCTCACATCATAACCCCTTTCTTTCGTAAAGGTAATTGTCTGGGTGAGATCCGTCCGCTGAACCATTGCAACAGGAACTGAGATACTCGACAGGTCAACCAGGCTAGACTCTGTGTTGTTGGCAGCAAGGATGTCCTGGAACCACAAATAAGTATCCCCCTTGGAAAACCAATTCACAATGCCGCGTTTGCCAGTGTGTTCCCCACCCAGGACTTGTATGTAATCGCCGATTTCAATAGAATCAGAGTCGGAGGGAGGCTCGAAATGTTGCTGTATTGGTAGGTGGGATTTGAGAGTGTGCCTCAAAGGACGCTGATCCAAGTAATACTTTGAAACTTCGACCTAAGCGTTACGAGTTAGTCAATCCTCCAAACAATATTAATACCGCCAGAAACTAACCACTTCCTTGGAGATCTCTTGGCAAACGTGAAACACATCCTCGCACATTTGGATGACGTGACCTTCCACGCCCACGTATGGACCAGCTACAACTCTAATAGTGTCACCAACCCGATGTAGGGATTCATTTCTGGCTGGGCTTGTAGAGACTGTTTTTACCTTATTTTATGTTGGCACTTTTGTAGCTTACATAAGGAAGCAATCTTTTCACCAGTATCAGTATGAGTCTGAGTGCTCAGCAGTTTTCTATGATATTTCCTCTCCTTTGAGCCTTAAGCCTAGTCCAGAAACCCTTTAGGGTCGAATAGCAGCTAGGTTCTGCAAGACCCAACACATTGTTCAGACTCACCATCTGAATTGTTGTACCTTCACCGAAAGACACGTTCTATGTCCCGGAGTGGAAGTTCTGTTTCTTCAAGAGATCCATCGAAGTCGAATTGCAACCCCACGGAACCACAGGTATGGTCAGTGGAGACAACAGTACCGGACTCTCCACGAAGAGAGCCTTTGATGACCCTGGCCGGATCACCGACGCGCAAAAATTGCATCGAGAACGATGCCACGGTGTCCTTCAGGAAGGGAAGGTCCCACCCAGATTCTAGATGCAGCTGAATGTCGTTGATATGAGGGGAGGCGACAAGTTCTACGTGGTCGCGGTGGAAAGTCTTGACTAGGAGACCCTTGTAATAACTCTCTCCTTTGTATGACCACCCTATTACTTCACCATTCCGAATGATGTCGGATGCCTGAGTGCCTTTGCTATCTGGAAGGCGAGATCGCTCGACCAACGCTCGAGTTCCCTGAGGCATTTGATAGGGGAAGTCATGTGCAGCAATCAAGACTTCAACAAGGTCCTCTTTGGATTCAAAGACCCTGCCTACGTCGTCTTTGTACTTGCCCTTCGTGACCCTCACCCACACCGTGTCGGGAAGCTTGGATCGTAAACGATTGACCGCTTCGCGTTCTTCATCCGTGATGCGGGTATAGTCTTTCATGGTGTGATAAAGGGAGGAAGGCAGTGATTGTAAAATAGTTTTGGGGCTGTCTGCCACCACGTAAAGCTGGCCTGGTATCCAAGCTGACACAGTAACTGAAAAATTTCGTCTCCGAAGGTGTGCAGCGATATATTCAGTAGCAGTTCCTGTGACGCAATGAGTATATACTATGCCATTAAAAATCAGACCTACTTTGAACATGAAACAGATACATTCTGTCGTCAGTGGGAAACTGGCGACTGCGTGATGAGGTGGTCGGATTCTGTTCGAACCGAGTGACCATGTTATCGAAGGTTGCAGCCAACCTATCTTTGGCTGATGGGCCCAACAAATGTGTCACGTTCGGCAACCGCATAGATGTTCTACCTTCTTCTTCATCATCCTCCTCCTCCTCCTCCTCCTCCTCCTCGGCCTCATCGAGTATATATGGATTGTTCTTCTACAATTGTTTAATTAATCAATTGATCAAATTATCAGTTCATGATGGACTTACTTTGCGCGGTTTGCGCAATCGTTGAACGGGTATGGCCCGTGGAGATTCGGGCTCGGGTACATACCTGAGCTTCAGTTCCATCAAGTTTGCCAAGGACTGCGCGTTATTTCCATCACCGGAGAACAACAGACGTCGCGGTTCCTCCCAGTCATCTGCAGAGAATCGACTGCCGAGGTGTGATTCAAGAGCAGCGTCCATTTCATCCATTGACATGTCGCTGGTGAGGAACTGGCAAAGAATTGCCCATGCAAGGGGATCGTAAAGTGCCGATGGGGTTGTTTTATTCCCTGCATCACTCATGAATGTCAATATAAACTACTATATCACAATCACGACTTACCTTCACCGATCCTAAGGTGCTTCGGGGTAGGTTCATCACCACCGTAAGGTGATCCGGCGCGTTTGGACATGAGTTTGTGTGATCTGTAGACATGCATCAATTTCAAGGTTGCGACGAACTTCATTTTTGACATACTTTTTTCAAAGTCTATTGAATCGACTGTCAGGTAGCTAATCTATGTACTAACATATCGTATTGAGGTAGTTGGAAAGAAGCCCTGTTAATGCGCAAGGTCAGCTTTTATAGTGAATCACTTTGGTGGATTAGCTAATACATACGGATGTGGCTGTAAGAATTGTGGTGGGCGCTGCACAATGGACCGATGGCGCACCATTGTCCTGTAGTAATTTTTGGATATGGATTGTGGACCGACCGTCGCCAGTGAGGACTAAGTTGTTGGCACTCAAGTCAGGCCCACATATAGTACAGACAAATTCCGAGATGAAAATGTATGTAGCGAAGCCCCAAGTACGAAGTATGGAAGGCGTCATGCATAGTGACTATTACTACGCATGCTAAAGCTGCCAGTGACGTGCCCGCATCGAACCACCCGTACTACTCTGCTAGTTCACATACGTGCTAAATATAAAGTAACATACTAGTAAGTATAATCTATCTGTGATCTATGTAGTACGTATATACTATTGGTTGAAACTTGTGAGTCGGAAAAGAAGTGAATTATGCGAAGAGCACAGTTGATATACTGAACGACTGCAAGTATATTTAAACTCAGACGGCAACACCTGGAGGGTGCCTTTTGGCTTAAGTGTGGCAAAAAAAGAATGTATGCGACTGGTTTCGAACGCAAAAGCACACGGGCATAAACGTAATATTCAATCGAAAACCAGTAGACTATAATGACTTTTGTAACCTAGGTCTGAATGTATTTATCATACAATCTTATATTACTTAAGCTTGTCGGGACACTGGCGCTTAATGCCGGCTGAGTTTGAATATAGTCGTTCACTATATGTACCCATTCCTGTCGATGATGAGTCCCTCTTTCTAACCTCGATCACATCTTTTACCTTAATGTTGTTAGCGTTACCTTAGGTTAATTTAATTAGTTTGACTACCTTCCTATATGTTACACCTAAAGCATGAATAGATTTTGAAATGACGGGCCTCAGTTAATTAAAAGAGTCGGGCACGCACTGCGGCTGTATTGTCAATTCGTACGGTGCGCCTACCGCTGTGATATTAAGTAGCGCGCTGCCCAACGTTATTTTCGTGACAGGCTGCAATGCAAAGAACACCCATAAAATTGTCCCAACAAGCCAACCCATTGGAAACAGTGGTAAGCACACCAAAACTTATGTTCTGCGCATCTCATCCTCTGCCAACAGATTCTTCTCGGCTCCATAATCCTCCCATTCACCAGGTGCGGTCCTTTTTTTGGTGCCATGCTGTTCTAACAATTTATTGTCACCCCATTTTGAAGCCCCATCTCCTTGTTCTGATCCTCCTTCATTCCAAGTGAAGAGCTCTGGACAGAAAGCGGGAGATGCTGTACCCTCCGGAATTTGACCAAGCACAGGCACATTGATGTCACACGGCATATGGCGCTCGAGGTTGTCGGCGCGGTAATATTCTTCCAGCCATCTGTATCTGTACGTATTCACCCTTTCTGAAAGGTGCGCAATAACATTTTCTGCGTTCTCTAGTTGTTTTTTGAGACGACGCAGCTCCAATTCTACTCTGTCTTGGAGCTCTTCGTCCTTGCCTAGGTAAGAATTTCAGACCCGTTCGTCGTATGGTTTTCAGTCTCTGAATGATCAATTCTCACCAGCTGTCTGAGTTCCTTTAGGGACCATTTCATTAATCTGACAGAATTGCCTGCACGGTAAGTCTAATTTTGATTTGCTCTCTGCAACGTTTTAAAACTCACTTGTCTGTGTCTAGCTCATCGATGTCAGAGCTCATCTGTGTGTGCACTAAGCAAAGTTGGAAGCTTCAGGTGAACTTGGATGAGTTTTGTGCTGTGTGGCATGTTGAAGAGCGTACTTTAGCTTAACATTACTTCCAACGTGGATGGATCGTCGCAGACACTTCCGAGGGGGTGAACTGGACATTCTTGATCCAAATGTCACGAGTAGTTGTTTCGACAGCGTAAGTGATTTATGTATCTATACGTGCGATGATGACCAATCTCGTACTACCAGGCGAAACAAACGCCGTGCCATCATCTATGGCGCTCGTGTGGTGACTTTATTTTTTCCATAACAAGATCTATGGCGCTCGGATGGCAAGACTTTTTCATTATGAGATCTATGGCACTCGGATGGCGAGTTTTTTTATATATCACGCCATTGTTTTCTTGGACATATAAATAGTCTGGTTTATTAATGGTATTACAGTCGCCCACTTCAACTTATTATGAGTAGTGACGAGAACAATCCCTCTTCCAGCGGTCCTTCGCGCAAGCGTAGTTGTTCAGCCCTTCAATTGGGCCCACATAAAAAAGCGTAAGTATGCCAACTGGTGAACCACTACCTTCCTGACCTCGTCCTCTTGACCAGGACATCATCAAATCCCCTCATCCTTCATGGGCGACATTTTGGTCGGACGGTGTTCGCCCTATGCAACTACCCTGCTCTTCTGACTGCAGGGATCCTCCGGCTCGAAGAGTTACAAGACTCTCCCATAGAGGACTATCCAGCGGAGTAAGTGTAGTTGTGACAATTGCATGCCGCCAGAATTTAAGAATACTCACAATGTTAGTGTTCGATGTGAACATAGAGTGTTCATGCATTTAATAGAGTCATATCCTGGTCTTTTAGATGGTCTCACAATGGGTGAGGATGAGGATGTTATTCACCTTGGAGAATTAGTAAGTGTTTAAAACTGGAAGCTCGTCATACTCACCGTTTTGCAGCTGGGTAAAGGAGCCTCTGGTGCGCGAGGCGACGACACTAAAACCCTTAAATCTGCTGTTCTTGATTGGCTTGTGCCCAGAGGACAGGTAGTCATACCGCCCCTCTCCCGAAACATCAAGTCGGACTGCGGGTTCAATCATGAAATCACCGGTGCATTGCTCTGCCCTGCAGGCCTTGACTGGTCGAATACAGCGTACGTCTTGCCACCGTTCAATCATCTCAATGTCATAACACTACGACTTAGAACCAAGCTCAGTCTCAAGAGCGGTGAAACCGCAGTTCGTGGTGATCAGTGGCCCATGTTCCTATATGCTAGGTATGACTATGATCCCGAAGATCCATGGAAGGGCTTATTGAGGAGCGATATACTCATATTTGTAGGCTCATTCTCTTAGCAATGAACATCTCTCATCTCTCCTGACAGGGTTTCAAACATGTATTTACGTCCCCAAGTTCGGTAGACAAGGACCCAAAAGCGATGCGCTCCGGCAACGCTTACCTTCACGGCATGAAGTCCGTAACCAAAGGGTCACTGGCCTATATTGCCACACAGGTATGTAGAAGATTTGATAAAGTATGCCTCGCACTTCTGATTATTCATTGAGGTTCAGTTTTCATTGAGTTCATCGTCTGTATTTTCACGCACAGACACCGTCACGGACTCCAAAAATTTTTATCACAGCATCCTCGACCTGTTAGAGGATCCCGATGAAAGTGAGGAAGTCGTCGACCTCATGATGTGGTGGACGAGGTTCGTGATTCATCTAGTCGCAGGCTGTCTATGCTAACACCTTAACATAGGTGCATCTTTCCTAATTCTTCATCTTCGCAGCGCGACATCAGCAAAGACAGTGCGCTGTCCAAAATTCAGGCGAAATGTGCTGCCTTGCAAGCACGAGTCAATGTTAACACTACTTAGTTTATTTCGTGCTATTCTGTCTGTAATTCTGTCTGTCAAGCATGTCAATCATGAAGCAGTTGATGAATAACCCCCTAATAGTGTGAATGTAAATCTGATGTATGCCATGAAAGGTTGACACCAGTTTCTGAAGTGATATCAGCATCTTTGATCGTAGCTTTCGAGCAGCCCATGTAACAGTAGATTTATTTGCCAAAAGCTTAACATTGTGCTATGGCATGACAACCTAATACCATACTGCGACACACAGTCAGCAATTGTAGATTCTCCCTTCAGAAGCTATCTATATAGCCATAGACATGTTTGCCAAAAGCCTAGCATCATGTCATGTATGACAGCCCAGCATCATACTCTGACACACAGCCAGCAATTTTAGATCCTCCTATCAGAAGCTATTTACTGAAGCTAGACAATTTTTTATCAAAAACCAGCATCATGCTATAGCTTATAATGTATTATTATACCATAGCACACAGCCAGCAATTGCATATCCTTCCATCAGAGGCTAGCTATATAGTCATAGACGTGTTTGCTCAAAGCTTAGCATCATGTTGTGGCATGTCAGCTAAATGTCATAACCTGACACACAGTCAGTGATTGCAGATCCTCCCATTGGAAGCTGACTATTTAAAGCTAGACACCCTTTGTGGAAGACCAGCATTGTGCTGTAGCTTACAATATAATATCTGACCCTGACATACAGCCGGTGATTGCAGATCCTCCCATTGGAAGCTAACTATTTAAAGCCAGACATCTTTTGTGGAAGACCAGCATTGTGCTGTAGCTTACAATATAATATCTGACCCTGACACACAGCCAGTGATTGCAGATCCTCCCATTGGAAGCTAACTATTTAAAGCCAGACATCCTTTGTGGAAGACCACCATTGTGCTGTAGCTTACAATATAATATCTAGCCCTGACACACAGCCGGTGATTGCAGATCCTCCCATTGGAAGCTAACTATTTAAAGCCAGACATCTTTTGTGGAAGACCAGCATTGTGCTGTAGCTTACAATATAATATCTGACCCTGACATACAGCCGGTGATTGCAGATCCTCCCATTGGAAGCTAACTATTTAAAGCCAGACATCCTTTGTGGAAGACCAGCATTGTGCTGTAGCTTACAATATAATATCTGACCCTGACATACAGCCGGTGATTGCAGATCCTCCCATTGGAAGCTAACTATTTAAAGCCAGACATCTTTTGTGGAAGACCAGCATTGTGCTGTAGCTTACAATATAATATCTGACCCTGACATACAGCCGGTGATTGCAGATCCTCCCATCGGAAGCTAACTATTTAAAGCTAGCCATCTTTTGTGGAAGACCAGCATTATGCTGTAGCTTATAATATAATATCTGACCCTGGCATATAGTCAGTAATTATGGACCCTGCAGTAAGAGGCTGCCTATGTATGAATAGACACACTTGACAATAACACAACAGTATGCTAGTATATCACAAGTAGATATCATGGGTCTGTCAATATTATAGGGTTGGGAGAAATCACCATCTTAGTCTAACTTTTTATTCCTTTGTCATGTGATCTGCAATTGTGATATATATTTTTAGTAATATAGCTTCGATAAATCTAGCTAAATCTTTGCCATTCTCAGGTCAAATGCCTGATGTGGACCGTGGTGGTTAGTTCATATATTGGTGCTCACAGAAGCGATTATCTTGATATGTCGCCAAGGGTGATAAGCTGCAACGTTAGGATGTTGATAAGATAGAAGGCGGTGACTCAGACAGTCAGACTGCAAATATCAAGACATGAGCAAGTCTAGGTTCATCATGACTAGACCTCCAAACGAAGAGAGATGTTGTGAATGTGATGGCTGAAGCGTACCCAAACTCAAAATTCAGACCAGATGCTAACACGTGCATAAGGGCGCTCCGCGAAGAAGAACTCCTCATGTGATTTGTGCAGCCCATAGCACTATATTAATACATCTTGAATGGACAACAGTCCATAAATACCAATACATACTTACCTATAACTATCCAATTGTCCAACAGGATGTATCCTTGAGGAGAATCATTTATAGAAGCTTTGGGCACTTGCCAGCTTACAAATCACTGCTCAAACAGATTATCCAATGTGACCGCATTTTTAGCCTCACAGCGTGGGAATTACCCCACAACGCCCAAAACATCGACCATTTTTGGAATCTCCACAATATCAATTATTCCCACACCCTCCCCACCTCAGTGCAGCTTCACCACTACACCAAAACAGGTCCCCCTTCATATATATGTATAATATAATATAATAGACCACTTTTTTTGCTCATTTATGTACCTGCTCCTCCTCCAGAGACCATTTAACATATAATAGGATACAGAATACTTTCGCATTTTTGCCCCTATGGTAGGGAAGTGTCCCAGGTTATTCAGAACATGTTTAGGAGTATACATGAAGAGATTCCCATCTTTATTTTACCTCCTGGAGCCTTCTGCATCAATAGATATAGCATATATATGAGAAAATACAAAATATGATCTCATTTTAGTATTTCCAGGTGGATAGACTTCAAAAAATGATCCCCAGCATCTATTTAACAGTAGGAACAATGCATCAGGAGCCCAGGACCATAGGACAAGACCTTGTTGTGTTGTATATCTCCCCTCTCCTGGTGGTTCACCCCCTGTGAAAATTTTTCCTGCAGTACTGGACCTCAAGTATGGTAGGGGGTCTATTTTTATTCATATTTGGAGTATATATATCATATAGATAGCTCATTACACCAACAGGATACTTCTACAGGAACAAAAACATAGAAAATCACATTTTTGATGTTTTTGATGTTTTTCAGCATCTTACCCTTGCACAGATGATCCAACCTGCTCATATACAATTAGTGTAGCATATATACTTGCTTTTTATGACCAAGATCAGCTACATATAGGGCGGAAGTTTGAGATCTGATGTAAAGGGGACATTTTTACTGATTAGAGGCCCATATGTTCAACTTATCAATTTTTAATGATCAGACACCTGGAGCACATTTTAAATATATTCAATATCATAGACCCTAATTTACAGAAAGATCCACCCAGAACTGAGGGTTGTGGAAGTGAAGTAGATAAGAAACTGAGTGTGGGAAAGTTCAAATGCTCAAAACATCGAAAATGGTCAGTTAAGCAGTGGTAGGACTTTAATACTGGGTCAACTCATATCTACACTACGTTCTTTCCACCTATCCTCTACTCTCAGGGCAGTATGTAGCATAGGTTTCTTAGGTAGTCTACTATGTATCCTACATATTTTTAATAAAATCTTCGACCTGTATTATATATAAATATGTTTTTGTGTGAAAAGATGTGTATTGTCACTTTTCACACATATATTATTTTGCTTCTCATTCACTCAATACTTCATGGATCTTTCTGAAACTTCAAGGCTATCTTCAAATATATATATGAGAGGTACTACAGGCCTCTGATCACTAAATATACCCTTGATTATCATAGAGGTCTCTTATCAGTAAAAATGTCCCCTTTACATCAGATCTCAAACTTCCGCCCTATATGTAGCTGATCTTGGTCATAAAAAGCAAGTATATATGCTACACTAATTGTATATGAGCAGGTTGGATCATCTGTGCAAGGGTAAGATGCTGAAAAACATCAAAAACATCAAAAATGTGATTTTCTATGTTTTTGTTCCTGTAGAAGTATCCTGTTGGTGTAATGAGCTATCTATATGATATATATACTCCAAATATGAATAAAAATAGACCCCCTACCATACTTGAGGTCCAGTACTGCAGGAAAAATTTTCACAGGGGGTGAACCACCAGGAGAGGGGAGATATACAACACAACAAGGTCTTGTCCTATGGTCCTGGGCTCCTGATGCATTGTTCCTACTGTTAAATAGATGCTGGGGATCATTTTTTGAAGTCTATCCACCTGGAAATACTAAAATGAGATCATATTTTGTATTTTCTCATATATATGCTATATCTATTGATGCAGAAGGCTCCAGGAGGTAAAATAAAGATGGGAATCTCTTCATGTATACTCCTAAACATGTTCTGAATAACCTGGGACACTTCCCTACCATAGGGGCAAAAATGCGAAAGTATTCTGTATCCTATTATATGTTAAATGGTCTCTGGAGGAGGAGCAGGTACATAAATGAGCAAAAAAAGTGGTCTATTATATTATATTATACATATATATGAAGGGGGACCTGTTTTGGTGTAGTGGTGAAGCTGCACTGAGGTGGGGAGGGTGTGGGAATAATTGATATTGTGGAGATTCCAAAAATGGTCGATGTTTTGGGCGTTGTGGGGTAATTCCCACGCTGTGGGGCTAAAAATGCGGTGTGGCAATATTGGGTGACTATCCGTAGGCAAAATAATGCGGAATAGATTATAACGGACTTTGAAAGATATCTGCAAAATTTAATATGTACAGAAAACACAACCGTAACGCATCTGGATTAAAATAATTCGGTCAAAACTAGATGTTCGTAGTTAGTAGAACGACCCTGTGGTGGTCACAGGAATACATTAGTATACACAGGAAAACAAGTCTTTAATGTAAAAAAACAGTTGCGGTAGCTTGGGGAACGAGTTGTTTTTGCAAGTCTAGACTTATAGGGAGAGAATGGTGTCGGCACTGCTCACCTTGTACCCTGGCCGGTCGCAGTGGTACGTGTCAGTGTCGTCTGCTGATAGCAATCTTAAAATTTCAGCTGAAAACTTCGCCAGGGAGCTCAGGGATGGGACTGCGTATATTGGAAAATGTTTGGACCAGGTGGCGACCTTCACTATGCTGAACATGTGTCAGGCGGACCTCAAGTCTTGGATTAGTCAGCAGATAACTTAGGTGTAGTGGCCCAAAACGGATTTAATCTGTTGTTTATAATCCGGATTAATCTGTAAGGGGGGGGGGGCCCCTTCTAGATTTAGAGTTTGTAAGAGCCTCAAAATAATATGTTTTGAACATCCGACACAAATGAACAGCGGCATCGCGGCACGACTTCCTTATATGGTCTTTTTTATTCTATCTTATTTTATTCCGCATTATTTCAGCCTACGGATAGTCACCCATTGTGGGAAGTCCTGACGAGTCAAATAGGAATGAATTTCTGCTTTTAGAAGCCAGGATAACTATACTAACAGGATGTATCCTAGACTGATGGATAACTATAGGAAAGTATGTATCACAATTTATGGATCATTAACCATATTGATGTATCTTTCTGCCATCATGTGGTGATTCGTGAACTTCGAGATCTAAACCAGATTCGTCGATTGAGGCACGTTCACATATGCACTATACTGACGATGGGGGTTTTGATAGATGAATAGGAAAATGATGGTGTTGGGGATGACGATGGTGAAGGGAAAGCTGCAGACGACGATTTCAATTATGTCTCTTTCCAATTTTGCCTGGCACTGGTAAGAGGGAGCGGACGTGCACTTCGACGGTTGCGCGAGCAGGGTGGTGCTCACCTGCTAGATGGGCTGTGATGAGACCTCTGACTGAAGCAAGAGTTGAACAAGAAGGACGGAAGGAGAATTTAGCTGATCCGCCAACGCCATCAAAGCCGTTTTCGCATGAGATGCTGATCGATCGTAGAGATGTGGATAACATGGTCGTGCTATTAGATGGCCGTTTGTATGACCAAAGAGAGGGGAAACTATCAACATCAGGGTTCAGTTTGACCACGAGAACGTCAACCAAATTACTTCTCGACCCACTAACTCTGTCAGGACATCAATCATTTAATACAATTTTATTTAACGTCATGAACGACAAATTTTCAACGTTCTCGAGGACGAATGTGACGATAATCTAAGGGTAATGAGTAAGACTAACAAAAACAAGAACGAATCTAGACCGACTCAAAAAATGAAACATCCGATGCCGAATAAAGCTCATGGGGTATACACCCCACCACGAGAATGACAGGGAGAAAATCGATCATCAAAATCAAAACAAAGTCCTCCTAGGAGTCGGGGATGATTTTTCGCTTCTCTTCGAACATTCGGATATTTGGAAGCTCTGGATCTTGTGCAACAACAGCATCACCGGGAGAGCGAACAATAATTCACAAAATGACGTTGAGCATCGAGTGTCTGCGTCTGAGAATGTTGAAGCGAGAACACATGGACCGCCGAGCAGCGGCGCATGATGGTCCATTGCAAAAGGGACAGGGAAGATGAGTCGAGAAAAAATCACGCCTAGGAATCCCACCAAAGCAAATCGGACGGTGCATGCGCGCGCACCATTTCAAGGTATTGTTCACCAGTGAACATCGAAAAATGGTCAATGATGCGACTGACAGTCACGGGCAAGAGATTGCCTGACGGAGACTGGTCTACAGATTGCAAGTAAACTCGGTACCCAAAGTACTGGCATAAATTTAATGTGCGTCGACAGAACGGAGCTTCCATCGTTGGGAAGTTCTTGATTCGAGACTGTCAGAGCAACGGACAAGCCCAAGCACCGTGATCTGAGTCCAGGGTTTAAGGAACAGCGATAAAAGGTCCGATCCTAGGAACTGGTTCAAACATGGCTGCTTGATTATTGTCACCGAGACATCATTGTCACCGAGAAATTATTGTCACCGAGCAATTTTGGGTAGCCATCACAGCGCCCTCCTATCGCTGCACTATATATATATATACTAGATGCTACAAGACAATCAACTTCTTGAATATTCAATCTGTCTCCTGCGAATGAATGAAAATGACATATGAATCATGCAAGTCTGTGGAAATTCACAGTCATAACGCGCATAATTGAATCCTTTTGAGCATCTGTTCGAGCTACAATGACACAAACTAGACTTGAATAAATTGCGCTGATTGAGTGCAAGATTCGCTGGACCGTCATCGGGTAAAAAAAGTCGGCCGGTGATTAGGATAAGTATGGTGTAGGCTTGCCACATTACTCATTCATTGGACTCCACCGTGGATCAAAATGTATCGGTGTCAGTAGTCATTTGGATGAAACGCTCAGATTTAACTGGATCTTCTTATCATCCAGCATGGCATGTGTGGATGATGGATGATTAATGCAGTCGGTGTCCGTGATCGATATGGCCGCTGCCATTGCCCCTCACGCAGAGTTGAGGGACTCTCAGATGAATAGAGACTAGCACTGCAAGCACGTTAAAGTCATTCTCGTGTGCGGTACCCAGCTATTTCTCTCCTTGTTATGCACGGAATATCAAGTGTCCTGCCTAGTATGACAGCATCCCATGATGTCGTAAAAGCGTTTATTCGCATTGGTTCAGAATTCCGTCACACGTAAGACAAACTGTCGCCATACCGGGTGCTGGTATTTCATTTTAAAGCTTGCCATGTAACATGAGGTCTCCAATCTTCTTGAATGAGGGAAGTCCAGATTACGCCTGTCAGACACGCTGCGGAGCATAGGTATATAAATTGAGTTCAATCTCCCAACTCTCGCAAGTATTCTACTCACATTCGCAGTCGCCTATAGTTCACAAACGTGAGCGCAGCATGGATTCATCCACACCAATGCTACAAAGCCCGTCGTCATCACAGTCGTGGCAGGTCCCTAACCAACAACCAACGGGACTAGTCTTGCAGTCATGTCTCCAGTGCCTCGACCGCCTCGACAGCTTAGAGCGTCGTATGCATGAGGAAATACAGGATATGCGCAGTCGCTTTAGAAATATCCTTGACAATTACCAGTCAAATGTCACAATGACGGATTCCGACGGATGTGATAGCATCGTAGAGTCCCAAGCTGGACTCGATGGCCGCAATGCTATTGCTCACCGCGGTGAATTTGCTATCATTCGCAGCTTTTAATTGAGACACTTACAATGCATCCCCAGGTTTATCGCTCCGTGGCACGTCCGATTCCGTCCATGAGCCCGCTATGCAACCCCTCCAGGACATGGATTTCAAGGAGCGTGTCCCATCAAGTTCTTCAGCCAGACCCGACGCAGAACTGCCTGTTCCCGTTGTGCAGGCGAGCCAAGCCAAGGGCAAAGTAAAATGCACTAGGGACGGGTGTTCGACGCACCTCAACAAAGACAACCTCGCTCGTCACATCAACGAGGTGCACGAGGGGAAGATTAGGGCTGTTTGTCCTAGTTGCGGACAAGGGTTCAAGCGCCCAAATCTGATGAGGGAGCATGTCCTTCGGACCGAATGTGGAAGATCCTAGATTGTTATCTTGTATAACAAGGGCTGGCTGACTTTTGTATATATAGGGCTCATTAAGCGGAGCATGTCCCGTGCGTAGGAAGATGTAGAAGCTGGTGAGACGTTTTGGGAAATTGGCGGAGTTTGACGAAGGAACGTTTGAGAATGTGAGGGTAGGCAATAGTACGGGTACAGGTATGGGTCCACGTGTATTGAGGTGAATAAATGAGAACGATGACCGAGAGCCTGAGTGAGGGCAACAAGTGAGAATGAGAGTGAGAGCCACGAGTGAGGAGGTGTGAGCAAGCATTGGAGTGAGAGCTGCGAGCAAGAGCCAGAGGGGAGATGTGCGCCAGAGGTGCTCCCAGCGCTCAGCTTTGTTCTTGCTATGCGACTCCTTTAGGGCCGAAATACTTAGAGGGAGGGTACGATGACGGAGGTAGCAGGGTAGGCGAGCAACTGAGCTATCATTGTGGCGACCTGATGCTAATTTGGCGTGTTTATGATACCGCCTCTTCGTTTCCATGCACAAGACGCACTGTTGTTTGTAATGCCAAGTGTTTTCAAGGGAGTAAACTTCGATACAAGATCATGAAGGCAACAGAAATGCATGCTCGAATCGTCCAATTCTTGCATGAATTGATGCGGAGTTACTTACTGAGGGTTTGTTTGGCAACCGCTCGGTTTTCATCCGTTTTCACTTGAAACGGAAAACATATTCGGCAACGCATTTGTTTCGTTAGACGTCTGTCACGCTGCAAGTAAATTGGTGCGGAGAGGGAGTGCTGACAAGACAAACCATAATTCAATCAGCGCGTCGACAATATTAGGGGGTTCAACCGGCATGTCCCGGTCCATACTCAGCGGCATTTATTCTCATTAATCTGCATCGCCTTGTCCGTAGCTCTTGAGTTCGCCGATACTATTAATTTTGGCTCACAAATCACTTCGTGTAGATTCATTAAAGTAGTGGAATTAAGCTTACAAGGTGTGTGTGTGTTGAAAACAACTTCATCTATGAAAATCTACATTTCGGCCGGGTCCCTCAATTTCCTATATTGCCATGCATCATTTCGTCGATCAACATAATTGCAATCTTGAGCGCTTGACAGCTTGAGCCCTGATTGTGACGAGAGTGTCGATCGGATGTCGAAGCCATGCGTGATGCAAGCTTACTTGTGCAAAAATGTACAGACTCGGTTCGGAGCATCAGGAAATCAACCCGGAATTGATATGGCCAGATAGAGCTGACAAATAAAACTCATTATGATATGTTATGATACATCTTTATTTAGAATTATACATTATTATCTTTGCACAACATATGTCTGAAAAAATATACAAGTATGCCAGGGACATACCATTTTGTTATGCATCTTGCAAGGATGCAACAAGAATCTGAAAGAATATATGACTATATCATGCACCTATCATTTTGATTTGCATCTTGCAAGCATGCAACAAGTATCTGACAGAATATATGACTATATCATAGACCTATCATTTTGATATGCATCTTACAAGGATGCAACAAGTATCTGACAGAATATATGACTATATCATAGACCTGTCATTATGATGCATATTTTATAAGAGCTGACAAATAATACCCATTATGATATGTCTAGATGAGAATTATACATTGTTATCATGGTGTCGAAACAAGATATGTTCATGCCAGAGGAATATCACTGTGATGTACATATTAAAAGCAGACAACATTTTGATAACTGGGCTGTCCATATCCTGCAATTGAATGACTGCAAATCATCACATTTCGAATAGACTTATAATGCATTGTGACATTTTTATATATCTTATTTAAATTGTATAGAAGCTGCAAAAACTACAATTGTGACGGTCTGCTTGCACTTATCTGTCTGGCGGCCATCAACATGGCTGGCATCTACAAAGCTTGACAGGCATGGATTACTTCAGACTGAGTTTGTCAATGGACCAATGGTGCTAAGTGATTACAGAGCAGTACAATGCTGGGTATCGCATATCAGCCAAGTGCGGCATCTCAAAATCTCACTCAGCGGTACTTGATTGTAACTCGAGATCTCAGATCCACAAGCTACAGGGATAAGCAGCAGTGCACAACTACGCCGACCATCGCATACTATCCAATATAAACTCAAGGGTAAGTCTCTTACACGATTCGCAGTGGGATCTGCACAGGTCCGAAATGGAAGAATGAATATTGCGAGAGATGAGATACAGTAGTAGTCTATAACTGAAATCAGTGAGGGTACCAGATATACTTCAGTATTTCGGGTTGCATACAAGTCAAACAGAGCAAATTCCGATACTATATATCAAAACCAAGTTCGAAGCAAATGGGTAAGAAGCAAGTTGATGTGAAGGACAATAAGAGAAGAGGGGTGACTTTAGAGCAGGTGAGTCGAATACATATTTCATGGGTGGGATGTACATCTACCTGTCAAAAGCGCAGTCATAATGCAGATGAAAATCAATAAATATAGTGATGGAAAATGCAGCAAGAATAACATAAACCAAGGGCGATGTACAACCTATACATAAGTGAAATTTATGAACGAATTTTCACTTTGGGAAGGAAGCACTTACTCGTGAAGGTGGTACAACAACAAGGGTGTCACAGGTGTGCAGAGGCACTGGAAGAAGATAAAGACGAGGTCGAGTTCCAATCGTCAAACCAATCATTAATGTGGTCAGGTGGATGTGATTCAAATGTCGTGGCACTTCCATCAGACGTGCCTTCTGCGAGCGACATCCATGTTAATTTAAGGAAACTCGAAGCAAAAAAATTATCACGCTCACCAACAACAATACGTGCTATGGCTTCAGCAAACATGTCCACCTCGGCCTGTGCGCGTTGCTTCTTCAAGTACATAATACGGAAGTCAGATTTAAGTTCGTCCAGCTTTTTGGACTCTGCATTGGAGCTGTCGCTATTGCAGGTGCGTGCTAGTGACTTGTTGGTTTCTGCAACAGATGCGCTCACGTATGCACGATATGTCATATCACCAACAAGAGCCTTCAAATAAATGGGTAGGTAAGGAATTCGATCACCGGGCTGAACAAAGTCAGAACGAGTCCCTCGTATTATTAGTAGCACTCACCTTTAAGGGGGGTTTATGGAGACTAGAATCTTTTAGATATTGTGGGGAATCATGAAGTAGTATTCGGCCGGCGTTGTCACCAACTTCAGTAGCACGATCGTGAAGATGCGATGACGTAAGAGCCGACGCCTTGTGGCATGCGGAAAGCCACGCCATGCATTTGTATCGTGTAGGTGGGAAGCAGTCAAAGTGGGCCGAACGGAACTCCTGACATGATCCTGCATAATCGACAGCGTCCACGGACAACTTCTTTGGAGTAAGACATGATGTAGCTAAGAATAAAATTGATTTTTTGGTACGATCCTTTGAACAGAATAGCTCACGTGAATTAGTTGCATTAGTTGTAGTGTTCAGCTGTTCGCACAAGTTTGCCATAGCTGTACTGAACAAGGAAACTTCCATTTGTGCTCTATACATCATCTCTTCCATCAGGCATCGCCCAGTTTGCACAGGAAGTGCTGTCCCACTCTCCTCTTCTGGCTGCAGTTGTTTTCGCGTCGCGACCTCTCTGAGGCTCGTGTCAAGGAGGGATATAAGGTCATGGAGGTCTACTGATCCAAGCAGCACGGAGACTGCAACAAACAGGGAGTCTGGAAGCTGGAGGTGAACTTATGAGAGACCAACACGAAAGCCATGTGAGCATACTAACAATTTTAGTCCCCCGTGCCTGAAGCCAAGATCTCAGTGCAGACTCGGTGTATTCGATTTCAAGGTGGGTATCCAGAGATGGCTGGGATGTAGAAAGGAAAGTTGAAATGATATTTGACATTTTGAAAAGTTAGTAAGGGAGCAAAAGGCTCGAGGGATACTCGCACGATCGTTGGATACTTATTATACACTTATAATACAGAACCGACGATGCACTTTGACCTTGTCCTAGTTTGGGCGGGATGGCGTACTATGATGACATCAGGGCAATCAAATTAATTAGCGACGAGATTTTGATTCCGGCTTCGTCACGTGACACAATCAACTGCTGTAAAATGCGTCCGAGTCAGAACAATAGTGGAATGCAAAAACGCTCTAGAGAAAATCTCATAAGGCGGCGGAGAGAGCCCTCTGGGCCGATGGTCCGGTGCAGTGTTGGAAAACAAATGCAGCCGGTGCAGAGTGCACTAGGGAAACGGAAACGGCGACGGCAAAGAACTTACGGGTATTAAGTGCTGACGCGGGTGGCTTTCGAGTTGTATGACTCTGTAAATTGGGCTAGCATATAAGCTGTATGCTTGTCAATTTTAAGAACTCAAAACGTACTCAACAAAGATAGATGCTAGCCCACTCGAAGCTGACAATTGGCCAAGACGCGAAGCTGATGCCTGCGAGGAATACTGGGACGTTGATATTTCTCTAGTAAGATAGGGAAACAGCGAGCGAGGTAGTAGAACGGGTTGGCGAGGAAGGTATCGACGGCAAAGAACCAGAGCAATGGGCTGTACATAGCACAACAACTAAAGAGATGGTGGAGGTCGATGCTTCCCTACAAAGCGATGTGATTTCAAAGGTGCTAGAGGACGGGTAAGTAAAGAACTGAGGCAAGGTGGTGTGCAGATGTCCACGATGTTGGCAAACATCCAGTCCTGCACGAGGGTGACAATCATGGAATTGGAAGGCAGCGAGGGATCGGTAATTGCTTGGAGCATGCCAGCGAGGAGTGGAGCGAGAGCAACGCAAACAGCCCGGACAGAGATATCCGTAGGGAGAATCTCCGCCGTGATGAAGAGGAGAAGTATTACGGGGCTTGGCATAGACTACCGCTGAGACGCTGCAATAAGACTGCCAGAATGGGGCAACACACAGATTGGCCGGTCAGCGTTCGGTCCTGATGAGTGCAGTGGCAGAGCAGGAATGGTGTATACGCTTGAACTGATGGGCAGGTCAGTTGTACTTGCACTGGAAGCCGGTTCCATGTCGTTCTCGCGGGAGATTTCGAGGGAGATAAACTTCGCATTGTCTCGTGGACGAGGTGTAATAAGAACTTCGTAGCCCACTGGATAGAGTTTTGAGTCTACGACAATCTCGGCAACGAGAAGATCTGTGGAATGTCTGATTTCGCCCTTCAATGTAAACGCAGAGGATGATTTCAAGGGCTCAGAGGCAGAGCCTACAGAGACTGAAGAGGTCCTGCGAGGATATGGCGTGGATGAAGGAATCGGAGATGGAGGGAGTTCGACTGAATTGTTCGCCCGAGCCTCAGGAGTAGGACCAAGAGTTGGCAGGCCCACTCTGCTCGGCCTAGGAGTGAGATCATCAGGTTTACTTGATATACCGGGCATCGTGAGCAACGCAACACTGCGATGGGTTTGATTGGCAGGGCTGAAAGTCGACACCAAAAGAACTCACAGAATATGTGCACAACTACTGAGGCGTAAGCAGCAAATGCAACACCATATGCAACAGCCACGGTTGCCGTCATGAAGATAGGCCAGTAAGCCTCGTGCTGCACTATATTGAAAGAGGCATTGGCGACCACCCGAGCAGCGTCATACTGCAATCCAGTGTCGTCGAAAGTCAAGTAGGATGAGATTGGCAAGTATGCGGGGAAGCAATTGTTGTTGGCTGCGAGACACTCTGAGCGCATTACACAATAAAAGCAGGAGAGAACATACATTAGGTGATCAGCGCAAAGATCAAGGAGAAGACCATGAGGGCATCGACCATGTTGACCTCAGACCACCAAGGCGTCACCAAAGGGCTTCGACATAGTGTGTTGAATAGGGCGGAGATGACAAGTGTCCCAGGTGAACGGCATCACGACATTGGCGGACTCCGGCACCGCAGGCGTAGTTGGCGAGAGTGTACCGTCTGGAGCTGATTTCAGTGCGTGCCACTCCTCCGAGTCCGTGAATTATGCCTACAGATCGATTGAATTAATGCAAGAAATCTATACGTTCTGTGCAACTGACCACACAGACCGGCCAAGTTGAAGTGCTTCAGAAGCCGGAGTTGCAAACGCAACAAGATTGGGATTTGATGAAGAAGATGGAGCGGAGGGAAGAGACTGGAAGGATAAGTCTCGGACAGACACATTACTGTAGAAGTTCGATTTGTTGAGATCATGGGAGAGTCGTTTGGTCGGAGCGCAAGAGAGAATCAGGAAGACGGGAGTTTCTGCGAAGACGATTCGAGAGGAGTATGCAATGCCATTCGGAGATGGTTGTCCACTTGACTCGTTCCCGAATTCAACCTTAGAAACTTCGAAGACATGTTAAGGGAAGAGTTGCACAAATTGGGATGACTTACAGGCTATCTGATTCAGTATAAAGGCAGCCCACCGAGACACACACCAAAGGTAAAGATATGATCTGAAGTTCGTCGATCGATATTTCTCGTAGAGCCTGTGCAAGTCCAAGGTTATTGAGAAAAGCAGCATGGTGCGAAAAGCGCATCCGAAAATTCCTTGTGATGCTTTGAGCACTAAAATTATTAAATAAGGGCGCGAATGCAAGGTTCGGGGCTTACTGTCTACCAATCATGTAATGCATGCGAAAGCATTACCTTGGTTTGTCGAAAAGACTTATGTTTCTGCCCGTCGAAGTCATCAAATGAAAAGATGAGAAAATGTCAGCTTGCACCGCATAGAGACAGACTGTTAAGAGCCCAGATGAGGACGTCATAGAGGATACCCAAGAACTGTGCGTGCTCACTTGTATTACGTAAGCTTCACACTTAAAGTCACTACTTCGTATCGAGCACATCTTCATATTGTACCCCTTCTACACACTATGGCCCAAGTCCAAGATAGCGAAAACGCAAACATGGTAAGTCGTTGGCAGCGTTTGACCTGTGTGGACTGACGAAACTGTCAGAGACAGACTCAGCAAGTTAACGATGGAAATGAAGTAAACAATGTAGGTTGTAGCACGTACCGCATAGCATAGTCCGTCCCGCATTCTTGGGCTGACGACACCGCGAGATAGGTGCAGCAGGAGGAAGCGTTACAACCTGGGTTCGCGATGAGCCCCTTCAGTGACAAATTCCGTATTATACGGGCCACCCAACCTCCATAATATCCCGTATGAGACGGGCCAGCTGATCATGGGCCCATGTTGTGTATATTCTCGATGATGACGGATGGGCCGGGACACATATTATTTCCGATGGAGACGGGTGGGCCCATGTATGCCAATGATATATATATCCTTAATGTTGACGGATGGGCCGGGGGAATATGATCATTCATGGAGATGGGTGGGCCCATCTGGGTAATATGTAGAGTAGGATATTATAGACAGCTGGGCTGAAGAGAGATGTAAGGCAAATATTGTTATATAGACGGGCGGGCCGACGTGGGTGTATTACATATATGGGTGGGCCGAGGTAGGGAAATATTACATAGACGGGTGGGCTGACGTAGGGTGTATTACATATACAGGTGGGCCGACATGGAATGTATTACATATACGGGTGGGCCGACGAAAGGGATATCAAATAGACCGGTGGGCCGAGGGTGCTATAAAATATTTATTACATAGACAGGTGGGCCGAGGTGGGGTATAATTATATAGACGGGTGGGCCGATGCAGGATGTATTATATAGACGGGTGGGCCAACATAGGATGTATTACATAGATGGGTTGGCTGACGTGGGGGATAATACATAGATGGGCGGGCCGTCGGGGGTGTATTACATATATGGGTGAGCCTAGATATGTTCCATCAAGACATACAGCTGATGTAGCCACCAGCGAATCAAACACATAGGATACATGTACACTATGAGTGCATATACCTACCATCAACCACCAAATCTAAACCCCTAAGCACAAAAACATGAATCGATCATGTGTGGCATTGACCAATAATCCAGGACTGAAGTGGAAAAACCCCACACCTGAACCCTGGTGTGCAACAAATCCTATTTCTAAGCATGGACACCAGAAGCACAACACTCACAAAAATATATATGTCAAATTTTCAGTGCCAAACCCCAAACCGAGATGTACCAACCCCTGAAACCCGAAACCTGAGACTGCCGGGTCTCAGGTATCGGGTGTCCGGAACTCAGAACTTGGGAGAATTTGGGGAGATCAATACAATTTAATTTACAATCGAGTTGATTGACAACACATTGACTTACCCATGTTTGCAATATATTTTTGTTTAGACATACCGAGTTCCGAGTTCCGGACACCCGATACCCGAGACCCGAGACTGCCGGGTTTCGGGTGTCGGGTGTCCGGAACTCGGAACTTGGGAAAGTTTGGGGAGATCAATACAATTTGATTCACAATCAAGTTGATTGACAAACACATTGACTTAACTATGTTTGCAATATATTTTTGTTTAGACATACCGAGTTCTGAGTTCCGGACCCCCGGACCCCGAAACCTGAGACTGCCGGGTCTCAGGTATCGGGTGTCCGGAACTCGGTATGTCTAAACAAAAATATATTGCAAACATAGTTAAGTCAATGTGTTTGTCAATCAACTTGATTGTGAATCAAATTGTATTGATCTCCCCAAACTTTCCCAAGTTCCGAGTTCCGGACACCCGACACCCGAAACCCGGCAGTCTCGGGTATCGGGTGTCCGGAACTCGGAACTCGGTATGTCTAAACAAAAATATATTGCAAACATGATTAAGTCAATGTGTTGTCAATTAACTCGATTGTAAATTAAATTGTATTGATCTCCCCAAATTTCCCCCGAGTTCCGAGTTCCGGACACCCGATACCCGAGACTGCCGGGTGTCGGGTGTCGGGTGTCCGGAACTTGGAACTTGGGAAAATTTGGGGAGATCAATACAATTTGAGTCTCGGGTATCGGGTGTCCGGAACTCGGAACTCGGGGGAAATTTGGGGAGATCAATACAATTTGATTCATAATTGAGTTGATTGACAAACACATTGACTTACCCATGTTTGAAATATATTTTTGTTTACACATACTGAGTTCTGAGTTCTGGACCCCCCAACCCCAAAACCCGAGACCCAGCAGTCCACAATTCTGGGGTTCAGGGGTTGGCAAAATGTGTATGAATATATGAAAGGTTGAATGAAACATTTTTGAAAGATGTCTCATATCAAATGTTAAGTCCCGAGTTTCGAATTTCGGGTTTCAAGACTCCAGGTTTCGGGACTCGGCACTCCCAAAATCCAGAAGTTGAAACTCGGGATTTGACATTTGATATGAGACATCTTTCAAAAATGTTTCATTCAACCTTTCATATATTCATACACATTTTACCAACCCCTGAACCCCAGAATTGTGGACTGCCGGGTCTCGGGTTTCAGGGTTCGGAGGTCCGGAACCCGGAACTTGGAACTCAGTATGTGTAAACAAAAATATATTTCAAACATGGGTAAGTCAATGTGTTTGCCAATCAACTCAATTGTAAATCAAATTTTATTGATCTCCCCAAATCTCCTCAAGTTCCGAGTGCCGGGACCCCCGAACCCCGAGACTGCCGGGTCTCGGTGTTCGGGGGTCCGGAACTCGGAACTCGGTATGTAGAACAAAAATATATTTTCAACATGGGTAAATCAAATTTTATTGATCTCCCCAAATTTCCCGAGTTCCGAGTTCCGGGACCCCCGAACCCCGAGACCTGGCAGTCCACAATTTCGGGGTTCAGGGGTTGGTAAAATGTGCATGGATATATGAAAGGTTGATTGAAACATTTCTGAAAGATGTCTCATATCAAATGTCAAGTCCCGAGTTTTGATTTCCGGGTTTCAGGACTCCGGGTTTCGGGACTCCGGGCTTCGGGACTCAGCACTCTTGAAACCCGGAAATCGAAACTTGGGACTTGACATTTGATATGAGACATCTTTTAAAATGTTTAAACCAACCCTTCATATATCCATACACATTTTACCAACCCCCGAACTCCGAAATTGTGGACTGCCGGGTTTCGGGGGTCCGGGGTCCCGGAACTCGGAACTCGGAATTTAGTATGTAAGACAACAAAAATATCTTTCAGGGTTCAGGGGTTAGTGAAATGTTTATAGATATACGTAGATTAATTCAAACATGTCTGAAAAATTTCGTTCATCTCAAATGTCAAATCCTGAGTTCCGGACTTCGGGACTCAGCACCCGGCAGTCAGGGTTGGGGGTTCGGCACTGAAAATTTGACATTCGGGTGTTCAGGTTTTGGGTGATATCTAAATCAACAACTTCGAGTTCTGCCAAAGCGTGAAACTTGAAACCCAGTGTGCAACATGTTGATTTTTCATTTATATCACACAAATCATCGAGTTCCGAGTGCCGAGGGCTGAGACCCAAAGCCTGAGACCTGAAAATATGTACACAACATGTCCATTTTTCACTCAC